CACCATTATTCTCTATTTAAAATCATGTCTCTAAAAGGCTTATTAAAGTGCAAATGTTGGAATGCTACCTAATTATTATGGCTCAGTTAATTAGATGGCTATATTTTAGTAGAGGAAAAGGATCTAACTTGTTAGGCTTTGATAAAGTAGATGGGAAGGTAGGAAGAAAAGTGGATAACTGGAAAAAAGCATCAGGGTCTAAACAGGGTGGCAGGGGTTCAGGGGCCATAGGGAGCCAGGAACACCATAAGGGCAAATTACTTCGCCTCTCCCAGCTTCAGTTTCCTCATCTACAGATAAAGATATTAATAGCACCATTACATAAGACAATCTACGTAATGTATTTGGCATAATGCCTGGCTTGTACGAGCTGAAAAAAATCTTAGCTGGGTTGTTATTGTTGAAGTTGTATTAATAATAATATCAATGATAATCATTTTAGTAGGGGTAGTGTTATTGTGCCCTGAAAAAGGCTGGGTTAAGTGGAATCAAGTCATTACATTACAGGCTAGGGAATTCAGTAAGAAAGTGGGGGCAGGGGTGTCAATACCAATCCTTATCTGTGTCACAACTTTGCCTGAGATTAGCTGCAAGGGAAATACCCTGGCAGAATGATTTTACAGCCAAATACACAGGGACTCATATTTTGGCTCTGTCACCTGATAATGTATGAATTTTGGGGAGTTACTAGTTTTCAGAGTCTCGGTGTCCCTATTTGTAAAATGAGAATAATCATACCTGTATGAAGGTTATCCAAACAGCATACACAGAGCACACATAATGTACCCAGTACCCAGCGAATATGCCCCCCCCCCCACCCCGCCAGGCTCTTTCTCCTTCATACTATGGTTGGCAGACTGCAAAATGAGAAATCCATATGGATGGGTGAGAAATATGAGAATGCACTGCGGGCTCTTTGTTAAGAGAAGAAAGATGTCACTAGCTCCCTTACACCCTCCTCCCACTGGGGGAGCTGATGGAATGTACAGTCGGGCTGCTGAATGTTAGAACTTGCACCCATATTTAGGTACAGCATGTAGTGGAATAATTCCGAATTCACTGTAATGTGCTACCGCAAAATGGAAGCCTTCCAGTATAAAGAAGCACAAAAATAGGTTTTCATGGAAATTTAACTCTGGTTTTCTACCTTAACACAAATGAAATCTGAGTACATGTTTTTTTTTTCTGCCAGAAAGCTGAAGAAAATTTTTTTGAAAAGCTATAAATCGAATGGCTACAAGTATCTTTCCATCATCGCTCCAAGATATTTATCATTTGATCTGAGTTATATGGAGGATATATCATCTATAATAGTCAACACAAGTTTAGGAACCCTTCTCCATTTTAAATGTTACTTCCTTGATGAAAATCTAATCACACTGAAAAATAATTTTCAAAATCACCTCATTTCTTTTCTCAATATGATTGTTTGAATGTCTTTATTTTTTGTCTAAACTCACAGAATACACTTCCTCTCATGCATTACCATTCCCTGTCCCAAGAATTTGTTTTCTTTAGGTGTTTTGAAGTAAGACTGAAAGAATTTTAACATTTTAAGCATACTTTCAGAAAACTCTCTTTCTGATTTATATAACTGTCTCTGACACTGATATGCAGTCATTCGTTACTTAAATGTTTTCTATAATTATGTAAATTATGTTGACAGATTCTGGTAGGGTGCTTACACTTTACCGTTTTGGCATCTGCAAAGTTATGAAATGTATCAGATAACCATTTTCAAATTAAACAGCTATTAAGGGGCACTTGCTGACTTGTTGGCTTTCTTTGCCTGTGATGCTGGGTCCACTGTTTTTGCCAGGTGCTGTTAAGCAGTATAGCCTCTCTTCCTCTCTCCCCACACTTTTTATTTTTTTGTCTTAATGATGACCAACTTACGGTCGTTGACTTTGTGGAGATCGTGGTCAGAGAGAGGAATATGTGGTCAGGTATAGATCTTCAGATTATTTCAACAGACTGTGGAAGATACACGTTATAATAAAGATTTGAATAGTTGCCATTAGAGAACACAGAATGACTCATTTCCCAAATGAGCTGGTGAAAACTCCACAAATAGAGGGAACTCTAATCTAGATTTTCAAGTTTCAGTAGGAGTTTGATGAGTGAAAAAGTAGGGAAAAAAGCCTCCCAGGCAGATGCACAGATAGAGGTACAGTTGGGAAAGATGAAGAGTTGTGGACACGTAGGGTATCAGAAGCAGGAACCCAAGCATTGGCCAGTGAGGCTGGAGAACTGCGGTCACAGTGGACATTATTTGCAAAGGTTTTGAGAGTCTCTCTCTCTCTCTCTCTCTCTCTCTCTCTCTCTCTCTCTCTCACACACACACACACACACACACACACCCCTATCTTAATTCTATAAAACAAACTGATGGGATCCAACTTTTTAGGACATAATCAACATGGTATGGAGGACGGACATGTGCATATCTGACATGTGCATACTTTAAGAAGCCCAGAAATGATATTTATTTTGTGGAAAAGAAAACTGTCTTCCTCCATCTCAGTTATGCTTAGTTCAAACAGAAAAGCATTCAGTTGTTACTGCGTGGCCCATGAGGGCAAGAGAAAGATAAATGCCGTGTACCAAGTAATTTTCAAGACAACTGAAGGAAACATTTTGATACCCATGCAGATCCTCCCCCCAAGCTTAGACCCCCAAGAAGGTCTGTGAGCTACCTCATCTCTGCCATATTGATGTGCAGTGACATGATCTCACCATACAGTGCTATATCCATGCGTAGGACATGATACACTACACCCCTGCCATGTCATGCACGGTGACATGGCCCTGCTACACTCTGTGTGGGTACATAGTCTACTACATCTCAGCCACAGCTCATGTGAAGACATGGCCTGTCATACCTCTGAGAAGTCTACGCGTGGGGCATGGCCCATCAAGTTTCTGCAACATCCATGTCTTAGGGTGGTGCCTTAGTCCATTTTGTATTGCTACAGAGGAATACCTGAGACTAGGTAATCTATAAAGAAAAACAAGGTTCAGTTGGCTCACGATTCTGATGTCTGAAAAAGTTCAAGTTTGGGCATCTGGGGACATCCTCAGGCTGCTTCCACTCATGGCAGAAGGGGCCGCAGAACCAGCATGTGCAGAGATCACATGGCAAGAGAGGAAGCAAGAGAGAGGGGAGGTTCCAGGCTTTTTTTAACAATCAGTTTTGGGGGAATTCTGGTGGGAACTAACAGAGTGAGAACTCACTCAGTCCCACCCCTCCCAAGGAAGGCATTAATCTGTTCATGAGAGATCCACCCAGTGACCCAAACAGAGCCCATTAGGCCCCACCTATAACACTGGGGTTTAAATATCAACCTGAGATTTAAAGGGATCAGACATCCAAACAATAGGAGGTGGTCATGGTCCACCTTACCTGAGCCACATCCAAGTATTGAGCCCTGAGGTTGTCCTCAGCCCCATTACTGTCCCAGTTACAGAAAGAGTCATCAAAAGGTGTATGTGGTGGTGGCTTCAAATGGGGCTGAAAAGAGGTGTCTAACTCGAATTTGAGTTAGGATCACGATGAAAGATGTTGATGAAGGAGGTTTAAAAACAGTTAAGTAATAAATAGATGAATATACAAATAGATGTATCATAAATCATGAGATGAGAGAGGTAAATAAAGGCTTCTAAATAAGAAATATAAAAGAATTTTTTTTAAATAAGGAAGAAAAAGCAATAAGGAAGACAAATCAGAGAAAGAGATAACACGGAGTAAACACAGTGATACACACACACTCACACAGACACACACACATACACATACACACTCACACATACACATACCCATACACACACACTCACACGTGCGTGCACACACACACATACACACGCACACACACACTCATTTCCTCAAGATACTATTTATCTTCTCCACATGCTTTTGAATGTTCTTTATAAGTAGAAACATAGGAGAAATCAGACTCTGACCCTGAAGAGAAAGGGTATTTCCTCCTTTTCACTCTTCCCGGACCATTTGCTGAAGTGGGTAGGGTTTTAGGTTGGGCAAATCTAACCCATGTACAAAGCACCATTTGTTCTGAAGACACATCTGTCTATATCTGACGCCTTCATGCTGGGGGTGAGGGTGGGGGAAGAAAAATCACTACATTTCCTTAAGATTTATTTCTAAATCTTAGAGGTGAAAATGTGTTGTAAGCGCAAGTCTCCAAAATTATTTTGGCGATAAGCTTTAATGGGACAGTCTGTGAAAGTGGCTCCTATCACTAGTCCTGGTTACACAGTTTCAGGAGACAGATCTCCAGTGAAAAATGTGACGATTCAGGCAGACTAGAGAGTCCGATGTATTTAGAATGGGTTTTGTACATCCTCATGCAGTAATGATGGGAACCAGCAGACACTTTCCTTTCTCTCTCAACTGCACAGGCCCGCAGGAGGCCTGCGATTAGTAAGGGGGCAGCCCATTCATCAGCGCCACGCAGGGGCAATCAATCACCCAGTTAAACAGGAGTTACTTCTCTTCAAGACACAATGTTAAAGACCCTCCTGCCCAGCCCTAGGAACGCATGAGTGTGCAGTGTGGAACACAGGGAGAGCCCACAGCCAACACCACTGGGAATAAAATGAGGCCATCACGCGCCCGTCCCCTCAGTGTGGGCACACAGCGGCAGCCCTCTAAAAACACCCCACACTGGCAGCCCTGTGCAGATAGGCCACCTATCCGCATACAACAGGAGGTACCATGCACTCAGAAAGCCGCTAACACACCAAGCCCTTTATTCGCAGCCCAGGGCGTACCAGTGACAATGTTTCACACATCAGGAGGCCAATATGAAGTCCTATTATTTCAGTAGGGAAACTGACTTCTACTCCCATGAGCAAATATAAGGAAACATAAGAAAGAACTGTTAATTCTAAAAATTTAGAAGACAAGCAGGTACATGAGAACTTTGAGTATGGCTGAGAACAGGATTGAGGGACAAATGGGAGATTTCAAATGGGTCTCTTACCTTTTTGTCGCTCAGGCCAGAAACCTGGTCCACATATTCCTCTTGGATCATGAAGGCAGCTAAGTTGGCAGTGTAGCTGGCCAGGAATATGACAGCGAAGAAGGCCCACACTGACACCATGATCTTGGAGGTGGTCCCCTTTGGGTTTTGCACAGGTACGGAGTTGTTAAACACCAGACCCCAGAGCAGCCAAATAGCTTTGCCGATGGTGAAAGAGGGGCCACCAGGCTCTGGCATGACAAAAGGGCAAGAATAAAAGTTAAGCCAGCAGTCTGATTCAATTTAAACCTACAAATACACAGGGCCTGTGAGTCCCTGCTCAGAGCAGGAAACCCTTCCACTAAAACCAAGCCACTAAAACAGACAGCTTTTACATTTGAAAGTGTGCATCTCTCTTTTCCAGGGACTCTCAGGAGAGCTGCAGAGGGTCCCTTAGGAGAAATACCAGAAGCCTGGGGGGTGTGGTGTGTGGGGTCCTTCTCAAACTAACCGTCATGACTCCTCTCTGGAGAAGCCATCACCCTGCCCCTATATACAAGACCCTCTCAAGATCACGTCAAAACTGAATAACAAAGGCCAATTATGTCACTATGGCCACACTTGGGTCATTAGTGTCATTTTTCCATATATTTTATATTTGTATCTACAAAGAACGCATTTTAACTTCCGAAAAACATTAGTAAGAAGTGTGTAAGACTGTTTTCTACCATTCATAAACCCCCTCCAAGTCTGTTTACACTGATGCTGGACAGCATGGAATGCCCTTCTTCCCGATTGTCCTTCAGCTTCTAGCACTCGGCGCTTAATGTTTCAAAGACAACCCTGACCCCGCTCCAATGCCAACACTGCCCAGCTGGTTTCCTGCGGTAGAAGCTTATGTGTAAAAGAGTATCGGGAAGGCCAAAGAGGAAGTCATAGAATCCCAGCCTGGTTGCATGGATCTAAGGGCAGAAAGCTGGCTGCTTTTGACTTTGATTTACCCCCACCTAAGCTTTGCACAGACAGTGCTTGGCTTCTGCCCATAGATGTATTGTGATCTCACTGCAATCTCTATTTGCTGATGGTAAAATCTTGCCTGTTGTCTGAATCTCCATGTAGCCCCTCCACTGCAGAAATGAACATCTGCCTGCACAGTTTTACAGCATATCAGCACAGGTCTTATGATGTAATCTGTGATCCCGATGGCATCTGCTCAGCCAAATACATCATCAGGGACTACACATGCTGAACCCGATATCTAACTGTGCACCCTCATCTGTGCGTGTGGACCTTATTTCATGCAACAGATGTGTAACTAAAAAGTCGTCTATAAATCAAAGTTTTGTAAATTGTAAAATGCTCTGAGGAGACTTGATATTTAACGTGGCCGGAAGTTGAATTCCTCCGTGAAGACAAACATCTGTCAGTAAAGTGAGTAACTGCAAGCTCTCGCTCTGAGCTTTCTTTGTGAATCTGAATTTTCATCTCTTCCGTTTTGTTTTGTTTTCAGGGAGAGAAGCAGCACACGCTGACTTTGGTTCTTGACGTTGCCAGCCTAAGTATATACTCATGTGATTCCCAGATGTTCTCCTTCTTCCTGGTGCCACACAGGCTGGTGTATAGGCCATGGCTTCTGGATGAAGCACAGGTGGAAAGCCCCTGACTGTACATACAGTGGAATCACCCCAACCCCCACCCAGAATACACAAACCAAATTAAAAGGTAGGTCTCCACGTGGAAACACTTCAGTAAAGTGGCGTTTCACAGCGGGGACTGTGAATCCAACAGAAGCATGAGGGAAGCATTTATAAGATACTGCTGCTTGGAACCCTATCTCTAGAGATGCTTCATTAATTGGTGTAGGGTGGGGCTGGTTATTTTATTTTAACATGCAACCAAAATAGAGAAACACTGTTTTGAAGCATACAGTGGTCTAAGCTCAACCCTAGACTTAGTGAATCAGAAAAGGAGGTCAAGCACTTGTGTCTTTTAGATGTCCCACAGATTATTCTTATGTGCAGCCAGGATTAAGAATCTTTTCTCTTAGAGGTATAATTCTAGGATAGAGCTCACATTCTGGAATGGAGAAGACTCAGCAAAGGCCAACTATTTCTTTTTTTTTTTTTTTTTTGGAGACGGAGTTTTTGCTCGTTACCCAGACTGGAGTGCAATGGCGTGATCTCGGCTCACTGCAACCTCCGCCTCCTGGGTTCAGGCAATTCTCCTGCCTCAGCCTCCTGAGTAGCTGGGATTACAGGCATGCGCCACCATGCCCAGCTAATTTTTTCTATTTTTTAGTAGAGACGGGGTTTCACCATGTTGACCAGGATGGTCTTGATCTCATGACCTCTTGATCCACCCGCCTCGGCCTCCCAAAGTGCTGGGATTACAGGCTTGAGCCACCACACCCGGCCCAGGCAGAATATTTCTTAATTCTGGGGTTCTCAGGAAGTTTTATAGAAGTTATTTACAAGGATCCTGTGGTCCCCTTTAGATTCATGTGAGCTTTTAAAAACTGGCATAAATGCCTCAAACACATGGGCAGCCCTCACATCTCTGGGTCTACCTACCCAGGAAATTGGACCATACCATATAATAGCTATGAGTGAGAAATGGTCTTTCCATTTCATTTTATTTCCAACACCCAACTTCTAGACTCTCCGGCAAAAGGGGGTTGAGGCAGGGGCATATGCTTTGGAGATCTGGTACCTCAGTTGTGATCCTTTGGCTCTGGGGAAATTTACCAGCTGTAACCACCTGCATATACCCTGGGGCAACCCATTTCTTCTTGTTCTTAACATGTGTGTACAATCTGCCTTGTTAGTGACATCTGTTCCAACAGACTGGCCACAGCCTAAGGTTATCAAAACAGTTGGCTGTGACGTGTTTATGCCACCCGTATCTACCAACAGTTTTTCTTCTCCTTTACTTGGGGGTGGAACTAGGCTTGGGGCCAGGCTTACAGCAGACTTATAGATTCAAACTAACATCTTAACTGGGGTATTTCTAAAGAGACACCAAGCTGGTGACCTAGAAATGGTCATCTGAGGGTTCCTTTTCAGAAATGGATAGGCTAGGGAAACTGCAGATAGCAAACGATGAGTCCAGAGATTTGAAAAGAAGGAGAAAAAAATGGAGAAATGCAGCAGTCCCAGCTGGCCTTACCTCTGCCATCAGCGAGGCACCTGTTATAACCTACAGGGCTGAAGTACTCAAAGACAAAGACGGCCACGGCTGAGACAATGAGCAGCATCACAAACATCATCACCCACACGTCAGCGCTGAATGGCTCTGGGGAAGAGAAAACAGCAGTGCCCAGGGTTAAAACCGAGAGCAAACAGACTCAAATTAACTCACACATTTATTGCATATTTTAGGGGATGGGGAACAAACCGCAGTGTGTTGTCTGCCTTCAGGAAGCCAGATTATACCTGAGCCATTTCCTTAAAGGGCAAGGATTGTCTTCCTTCAAGTACATGAAAAAGACGGCTTCATGCCCGTGAGCCTTTTAGGTTGTGGAGGCAGTTTCTGCCGTTATTGGACCGATATCTGGGTGCTTCAGTAAATGGCGCAATTGGAAGCAGTACTGGCTCTGAAGTGAGTGAGCTGTATGGGACTGACTCGGTTTCTGTTCTTTTCTATATGGCCACACCGTGCAGTGAAGGCCTGCAAATGCCTTCTCCAGTGCTTCTGAGCTTTGTAGGTACAGTCATTCACAACAGTCCTCTCTACTATTTTAGATTTGAGTTGGTTCAGGAATAAGTGTGGACAATAAATAGCCAGTCCTCTTTCCCCCTTGTATCACTTTTCTCAGACTTCCCAGCCTGGATTCACTTTTTCAATCTACTTTGATGTGATATATATTATCATCGTTGGGTAAGACATCATCGGGTATGAGAATATAAATCAATGTTACAGAATCCATCCATGTTAAATAACAGTATCTGCAACAGTGGGAATTTAACAAGTGACAAAGGAGCCTGCCTAAGCTGTAATTCACAAACCAGCCACAATCTATCTGCCATTACCAAGTGATAGGGCTGATGGGATGAGACTGGGGAAGGTAGCAAGAATATTCTACACGTGCTTCTTTAATATCTTTAATCATGTGTGTTGAGTCCTTTCCAGTTGAGCTAAATCTCTCTCTGGCTTGGAGGTGTCCAGAAAAGAGGTACTATATTCCAGAAGCCATCTCTCTGAAGGCCCGTTAAAAGGGACAATCACTATTCTGTCGCATGATACAATGCTCTCTCAATTGTGTCTCAAAATAGTTCTGGCCTTTTTAGCTGTCCCAGCACATTGTAAACTCCTAACTACGTGAATTAACATGCTGTTTTCTCCATCTTCCAAATCATTAATAAAGATGAAGTTTAAAAAGGGGAAAAATTGGCTGAAAATTAGAAAATATATTTCTTACTCTGAAACCTACTTTATTATTGAATTCCCAAAGGAATTATAAAAGCCTGGTCACTTAATCAATTTTGAAAAGATCTTGATAAAGCCCTGGTGCTTAACACAGCAACTGTGAAATGCAAAAACCTTTCAATGGCAGCTGGAGATGCAAGGGTAAAAGGTACAATTCAAAGGCTCTCTACAGAGGAGCGGAGAAAACCTCCACACACTTGACTCTAATTGATTGCAATTCTACCCTGATTTCCTTTTGTCTAAGATTGGGAAATCACTGAGTACAAACATTGCCTCTCTGGTCTGTTCCTCACATTAGGCCCAGGGAAATTTTCTATACACAAAATGCATCATCTGTTTTGGTCTTTACAATTTAGAAAGTACTTTTACGACAAACTATATATATAATTTTTCTAATGACCCTTTCTTTAGGGATTACTTTATCTATTTTATAGGGAGTAAAGTAGGACCGAGACGGCAAGGTCCTTTCCAATTTGTACTCAGAAAGTGACAGACTCAGGTTACAAACTGATGCAGTCGGTGTTTTTTTCTCATCGTGTTATGTTGCTCTTTGTCCCCTATGCTGGTTCCTGCGTTAGGGGCTGAACTCCGAAATGGCCTTGTTTGTACCAGAACACAGGTTCTGAAGGCTGCCATAGCTGGATTTTAATCCTAGAGCTTCCTGTTATCAGCTAAAAGACTGCTGGGAAATGGCTTACTATGTCTAAGATTCAGTTTCTTAAGCTATGAAATGGGTATAACATATCGAGTTCATATAAACAAAGGATGTACAATGATGCCTAGCACATTATATAGCAGCTGCTCAATAAATGTTGGCTTCTCTTATCCCTATAACTAACCACTCCTCCTCTGAACACAGACATAAACACACTTTGCCTGGCATTTCTGTGCCATTTCAGGGACATACTGATGTATCACTGGCTCTGCCGGTTTAGAAGTTAAAGTAGTGCTGTACTGACAGGGTTGGAATTAGAACATAGCTTTGTTTCTATCTGTTAATATTCCAATTATCCCTGTGAAGAACAAAAGCAAATGAATTATTTACTGCAGCCATGAGATTCATGCATACAGTGTGCACTGTCTAAAAACATTTCACGTAAAGTTGGCAAGGCCGGAATTTGCCTCACTGGAAATAAGATTAGCTAAGAAATTGGAGTGATTGGGCCAGGCGTGGTGGCTCATGCCTGTAATCCCAGCACTTTGGGAGGCCGAGGCGGGTGGATCACGAGGTCAACAGATCGAGACCATCCTGGTCAACATGGTGAAACCCCGTCTCTACTAAAAATTACAAAAAATTAGCTGGGCACGGTGGTGCGTGCCTGTAATCCCAGCTACTCAGGAGACAGAGGCAGGAGAATTGCCTAAACCCAAGAGGCGGAGGTTGCGGTGAGCCGAGATCGCGCCATTGCACTCCAGCCTGGGTAACAAGAGCGAAACTCCGTCTCAAAAAAAAAAAAAAAAAAGAAATTGGAGTGATTTATAGAAAAATTCTATGGAGCCTATACCTCCACTTTGCAGTACATTAACTGAATTAATTCTCTATGGTTAGAGCTTAAAGAAAGGTTAGTCACTGTCTACTGCAATAGCCCCATTTAAAAAATGTTGATGTCTCCTAGAGAGCTGGTGACTCGTCCAGGGGCTTATGGCTTGTTTATACCAAACCCAGTCTCCTTTCTGCTAGCCCAGTGTTGTGTTTTCAAGATGCCATTTTATTTTCCAACCCCTTGTTCCATGGACCCTGCAAAATAATGTGGAGCATGAGCTCACAAAAGACCTCATCTAATTGAAGTCTTGGCCTCATCTCACCCAGTCTTATGTCACATCTGAGATTTTTGACATTTAAGTAATGCTGGAGACAATGGTATGGGGAGGGGTGTGGTGGGGTGGGAGGCAGAATCAGATCAGCTCTATCTGGCAAAACCTCAGAAAATTTGTGTGGAAACAAAAAACCTTTTTTGGTAGCACTGAGCTCAATTCTTGCAGATAATTAAAAATAAATAAATATTTCAATGATATCCAGAATTAGAAATTATTACGGCAGGAAGGAGCCTCAGAGATCAGCCTAGCTGAAATGACTTCTCCTGTGGATGAGGAAACTGAGTCCTGGGATAGAGCGAATTTGCTCAAGGTCAAATGCTGACCAAATGGCAGGAACCGGACTACAACGGGCTCTGAGGACTAGCCCAGTACTGCTTTCTTAGGGGCCATCATGCTTTCCTATTTTTCTGGGTGTTCATCAGTTTTCAAGTTTGAGAGTAATTAGTTTTGAAGTCCCGTAAGTGAAGTCTCTGGCTGAGTTGAGCTCCTGGCAAACCACCTCCTAGCTGGAAGAGCTCCCTCTTTGTTCCTTATTTCATTTCCCCATCCATATGTCCATTTCCTTCCACCAGGAAACCCATTATTTACCTAAGAAGGCAGAAGGTGAGACAGTCCCATTGCTGCGTGACACCATGACACTGATGCCCGTCTCTATGAAGGGCACAGAGAAGTCGACCACCTCCGACCGTTCCTCATTGATGGTGAGTGAGCCCACCGCCATGTAGGCCCTCTTCATGACCACCTAAGAGAAAGATGCAATGCACCAATTAAAACGTTGAGGAGGACAAGCGACCACCACGAGGAAAATACTTGCAGCCTCGCGGTGGTTTTCTTTGTATAATAGGAACAATACGTCCTATTTACCATTTTATATTTTCTGAAATTCATAAAGTGAGCATGTTTTAAACACATATTTAAAAGAAGGAAAATAAATCAAAATGAAAATGGAAACAGCCCTTCCAGACACTCACCTCTCCAATCATACCATTCCAGGTTCCATTGATTTTCTTCCCATGCTTGCCATTGGTAACCAGGTAAAGGTCATAGGTGAACTTCACAGATTTAGAAATTTTCTTAAGGATGTCGATACAGAACCCCTTGCAGCATTTTTTGATGTAACCCGGCTCCTCATCTGTTTTGTTCCTAGGCAATTAAAGAAACAAAAACAAAAACAGAAAATAAAAAACAAGGCTTTGTACAAAAAGGCAACATTTATTACCCTTTGCCATTAAAAAACGTCCAGCCCCAGAGCAGGCTGCCTTCACAGCTCAGCACAATTTATACTAGACTCAAGTGAAGAAATAAAACAGAAAACAGACCTGTAATATTCTCATTATCTCATCACATTGAGCTATGTTTCCTCCAAATTTTAATTCTCCTTTGAAGTACAAAATACATAAGAAAAGGGTGCATATTGGAAGGCTTTGGTTCAGTGAATTTTCACAGACTGAACTCCTCCTGTTAATCAGCACCCAAATCCAGATAGAGAAAAGTTACCAGCACCTGAGATGCCTCCTGTTCCCCATTCTAGGCACTTTGCACCAAGAAGAACCATTATCCTGACTTTTAAAAGCATAGATTAGCTTTATATTTTTCAAAAAATAGTTCTAAATCTCAAGATTTTGGGACATGCTGGCCCAAGAAAAATATTTGAATACCAGAAGTAAACTTAAATCTCCATAAACTTGAGGTCCTATTCACTGAGGCCAAGCAAGACCAAAGAAACTTTAGTACAGGAAGTTAGCCATCATTTTCCCAGGTCACCATCTGAACAGAATGAGACAACAGATCAGAGTGCTGCCAAGTAATCCCACAGCTCAAAAGCAACTGGAAATCAGACACGGTGCCCAATTCTCATGCCTCAGGTCTCAGGCCAGCCAAGTGCTAACAGGTGCATCAAGTCAGACTCTCCCATGCCACCCAAAGTCATTGAGAGGATGCCATACTCAGTGATTATGCGTTTCTGGCAGGGGACTGTGTTCCTCATGCAGGTTCCGCTGAGAGGGTCCACACTTTCCACAATGACAAACGGTGCCTCCTCCAGGGTCACAATGCTCAGGTGGTCATCCTCCTGCTCTTCAGTCTCAGGACACATTCGGGGCCACACATAGTACTTCATCTGCAGGGACTTGTCTTTCCACTTCCCCACCTGCAAAAGGATGAACACAAGAATCAGAAACCATTGGCCACAACATAACAGCCTGTCCCAGTATCATCTGAATAATCCCAGGAAGCAGTTAAACAAAAGCCAACAAGTGCCAGCATTGTAGCTACTAGAGAGAGGAATACTTTTTAAATCATATGCCCCAAATGAGACTACTGTGTCTAAATGTAAGAAAGCCAATACATTCATTTATCACTCACTTACCAAACATTAAATGAGAACCTACTATGTGCTGGCACCCTGCTAAGCCCCATGGCTCAAAGGAGCATCATTCTGTCCTTCATGATGCTCACAGTGAGTGGAGTCAGATATGTAAAAAATATTTTTGGAACACTGTGTAGTAAGTGCTACACTGAAGCTGTGGCAAGTGCTGTGAGGATGCTGGAGTTCCCTGCATTATGAGTGGCTGTCAGTTTCTTTTTTTACTTAACTGTAACAAGGAGCGTGACGGTGAGAGCAGCAGATAGCTTTGGAAAGGTCAACAGAACAATGGGAGTAGATGAGCCAAAAGGATGCATTTTGGCTGTAAAAGAGATCCAGTGGGGAGAGCTCGATGGATCTGAATTGGAATAAAATGAAAAATTGGGATTAAAGAATACTAACACAGTTCATTTAGGAAGGGAGCATGGTTAGGCTGGGGATGAACATGGGTCAATGCAGATGTGCAGCTCCTGGACTGGGTGGAAGCCAAAGATGAATCAGATATTTCTCTCTATGAACCACCATTTATGGCCACACAGGCTGGGTGCCCCAACACCAGGGAGCATCATCCACATGGACTCCAGTGTGAAAGGCTAGTGCCCCTGGATCATGAATATGGTGGCCTGCTGCCAACCATCCTGAAAAATGTATGGGTTCCATTATCTTTTGGAAGAGCCACTCATTCCTATTTTTATAAGGGAATCCACATGGGGCTTTGTTGAGGGGTTCTCGTTCTTTCCGTGTCATTGAGTTTAATGAAGAAAGAGGGAATACTTGCTCATTTTCTATAACTGAGCACCTTCAATTATCATAAGGAATTATGGATTGCAAGCACCTGCACTTTCTCCATCTATGATTTCCTCCATGCAGCAATGCAAATTTGTAGAACAGGTGAGGCACCAGGAACTACAGCACTACTTCATTTATTAGCTACAGAAATCACTAAGAAGCAACAAGTCGGTAGCACTTCATAAATTTTCAAGCAAATTGGCTTGGCTTTTCATATTAATGCGAAATCCAGACTCCTTCCTTCTCGGTGTCTCTGTCCAGTGGCCCGCATAGCCACTGCCCTTGTGTGACTGCGTCACTGTAAGGCAGGCAGTGGCCTGGTGGCTTGGGTTATCTTATTTGGTACCTCCACAGTCCTTGACTGGCTGATGCTGGTTGGTTTTCTTTCAAGGGTATAAATGATGCTTTGCTTCTCTGTTCAGAATCATGCACTGAACCAAACATTTGCTTTCCTTCATGTGTATAGTATTCTCTGTACTGTTGATCCTGATTTTAGTACAAGTCATTTTTTTCTCATATTGCTAAGACTCTTTATTTCGAAAACCGCAATTTCCAAATGGCTCTCCAGCAGTGTAGACACTAATGTCCTCTGCCAGTCGGGGTAGGTAGGAATTGGGAGAGGAGAAACTCGGTCCTGGGTGCCCAGGACATTGGTCACTCCCATCCTCAAACAGCCCTATTTCTTTGGCCAAACTGGTTTTATATTCTTCATGTTCAATAATGTGTAAAAGGTTGAGAAGCCCTAAAGTACCTATTTATTTCATTCCTATCATCTTCCCTCAACAGTCCCTTTTGATTTTTTTTCCTCTTAAATCCAAATTTATTCTCTTCCATTTTTATTGCTGCTAGCCTAGGCTAATACAGCCCAGCAGCCCAGTCTGAGATTACTGCAGGAAATTTCAAACCTCACTAAGGGTCCCCCCAGAGTCCACTGTGGACACTGCAGCCAGATGGCTTTCTTTTTTATTTTTTATTTTAATTGAGACGGAGTTCCGCTCTTGCTACCCAGGCTGGAGTGCAATGGCGCGATCTCGGCTCACCGCAACCTCCGCCTCCCGGGTTCAGGCAATTCTCCTGCCTTAGCCTCCTGAGTAGCTGGGATTATAGGCACGTGCCACCATGCCCAGCTAATTTTTTGTATTTTTTAGTAGAGACGGGGTTTCACCATGTTGACTAAGATGGTCTTGATCTCTTGACCTCGTGATCCACCCACCTCGGCCTCCCAAAGTGCTGGGATTACAGGCGTGAGCCTGGCCCCAGATGGCTTTCTTAAAACACAATTTTGTCCTATAATCCTGATTCAAAATTTCAGCAATCTCTCACTGTCCTCAGGATTGTACGTGAATTTGTCAAGGTCTGTACATTGAGTCTAGCCTACCTTGATATGGTTAACTTCACTCTTTTATATCATCAATCCTTGGTTCAACTGGGAAAAGGAAGTTGGTATTAGGAGCTGACATGCATGAATCAGGAACACTTTGCAACAAATTAGCTGCATTTTTTTTCTAATAGACTTACTGTATCTGTGGGGAAAACGCTACAGACATAAAATGTTGACAGCGTTTCTCAGATACTATTGTGAACAGTGTGAATACGGCATACTTTGATAGATTTGAAAGGAGTTTAAAATCTGTATGTGAAGAGGAAGAAAAGAGGTTTTTAATGAATGACTGCCAACATAGAAAAAAGTCCCTAGTGTCACGTCAGGGGACTCTGTTCTTAGAAGTGGCCTGAACAGTGTTTTAGAAAACAAAATAGAAGTTATGCTTACAAAATTTCAGACAACAGAAAACTGGATAGGAAGAAGGATAAAATGCACTGCAGAATCAGGTTTGGAGGAGATATGAATTAGTTGGAATGATGGACTGAACCAATTGAATGAAATTTAATAGTATTTGTACTCAAAATCTAGCATTTTGGTGTTTTAAACAGCAATTGCACAGCACTGAAAATGAGATATTTCAATCAACAGTCTACAAAAGCTATTTCAGTAACAATGGTACGTTTATAGACATACGTCAACTAGCGTATGGGGTGAAGGGAAGGGGCAAATAATCCTACCCTGCTCTGTGTTCATCATACCACAGCTGGAAAACTGGGTTCTGAGCCCATAATTCTATAATCTACTGATTTGTATTAAATATATCATTCTCATTTCTCCAACATTGGTTTGTTCACGCAGTTCCCTCTATCACACCCTTTCCCAACTTTCTACCAAGTTGGCTGGATCATATCCTTACTTCATGTCCATTCAGTTCAAGCACCAGCAACTGCACACGGATTCTGTACCAGGCACGGGGCTATGTGTTAGAGGTAACAATACCAGGTAGCATTTACTGAGGGCATAGATGTGCTAGGCACTGTCCATATCTGGTAATCTCATTATATCACAGTGAGCCTGTGAGATTGAAACTCACATTTAATGTTTCATTTTACAGATGGCTACAGAGGGGTTTGATAACTTGCCCAAGGTCCTTTGGTAAGTGACTTGAAGCTGAGCAGTCTGACTCCAGAGCTTGGGCTCCTACCCACCACGCTACACTGCTTCTCTGACAATGAAGGAGTAAGACATGGTCCTTTTCCTCCAAGGACAGCCTAGCGGGAGAAGACACTATCCATCGACAATAATATAAAGTTAGACTTTGGTAATTACTCTAATAAAAGATATCAATAGATCAGGTGTGGTGGCTCATGCCTATAATTCTAGCACTTTGGGAAGCCAAGGCAGGCAGATCATGAGGTCAAGAGATCACGACCATTCTGGCCAACATGGTGAAACCCTGTCTCTACTAACAATACAAAAATCAGCTGGCTGTGGTGGAGAATCACTTGAACCTGGGAGGCGGAGGTTGCAGTGAGCTCCTCCACTGCACTCTAGCCTGGGTGACAGAGGGAGACTCCGTCTCAAAAAAAAAAAAAAGGATATAAATAAGTACTCTGGCATTCAGAGTAGAAGTGATGATTTCCAAAAGAATCAGAAGAAATCACACAGAGAACTTCATCTTTGAGCTGGGGCTTGAAATGTAAATGATAGCTGAGGAGGTAAGAGCAAGAGCGAAGGAGCAGAGGGTGCAGAGGCTAAGTGAAAAGCCCATGGATCATTCTTCACAGGTGTAAGGTCTGTGAGCAATGGTCTGGCTCAGTCCTCCTCCTTACAGGCCTGCTCACTGTAGCCGGATGATCTCTGCCATTCTTGAGAGCTGACTGGATTGTGCTCATCTCTTCCCAACTCCTTGTTCAAGGGTGTCAGGCTGGTAGCTTGAAACTGGCATGAGCACCATGAAGTTGACAAACACTGTCAATCAAGCTCCCTCTGTCCAGCCCCACCCCTCGATTATTAAACACTGCTGGCTCACCACTGCCCAGAACCCAATCATTCATCATTTCATGCTATCTACTACCTTCTTTAATAATTTTTTAAATGTTCCAGGTCACTTGTCTTCTAAACTAAATTCTAAACATGTCTCTGAGTATTTCTGAGACTGTGAACATATTTCTAAAACCCTCTGAGCCTCAGTTTCTGCATCTATAAAAATTGGTGTGTGGACTTCTGAGGTACCTTCCACATAATTTCATGACCATACTTTCTTTAGAACAGGGGCTCTCTACATTCTACAGATTAAAGCCCAATGAAGAGGTGCTCTTAGAGTTACTTTCTGAAGGGATGGAAGTATCTGATTTGTTTCTACAAAACACTAGCTTGTCTTAAAGTCATGATTTTTTTTCTTGTTTCTTCAAGGAAACAAGGGTTAGGGTTTAGGCTTAGGGTTAGGGTTTTTCTTGTTTCTTCAAAGAAACAAGAAAAAAATGAGAAGGAAAGTTAAATTAGTTGAGTACTGAAAGGAAAATGTTTTTGAAAAACAATCTATGAATATCAGACTCCCAATTCCAACGAACAAGGCTCATGTTAAAGAACATGTTTAGATCATCACTGCCAATTCTTTATGGGGCGAGGCAGGTTAGAAATGAGTAAACAACTAAAATTGAACAAAAAG